TGGATTTTGAATGTTGATTTAAATACTACAATCAAGTCTATAATATAAACACTGTTGGATTTTGAATGTTGATTTAAATACTACAATCAATTCTATAATATAAACACTGTTGGATTTTGAATGTTGATTTAAATACTACAATCAATTCTATAATATAAACACTGTTGGATTTTGAATGTTGATTTAAATACTAAAACTTTATTTACTGTACAACTTGTGTACTTGATAATGATCGCACCAGTGATCGAAACGTCGTACCTGTTCTAAAAACTAATCTTACTCACTATAAAAACTGTAAATTGTAATAATATATACTTTATTAGTAAGTAAACTGAAAATGAAACGATAGAGTGTTTGCCTGTTTTGTAGTTAAGCGCAAAGCTACACAATGGGCTATCCGTGTTGTGCCCACCACGGATATCAAAACCAGGTTTTTAGTGTTATAAGTCATCATACTTATCGCTGAGCTACTGGTGGGCAAAAAGCGGAGTGCATTGGTATGTAAAGGAGTCATGTAAGCCTGGGAGCTTATAACGCTAAAAATGAGGTTTAGATACCTTCAGTGGGCAGAGCACAGATAGTTTATTGTGTAACTTTGTGTTAAATAACAACAAACAAAAAATTCTAATGTTGCACAATCGTTAGATCACTTAAGGTGTGACTTTATCAGTAACTTCGTATTCTTACAAAAAAAATCATTAACTTTTGTCGCCAAAGAATAAAGTGCATGGTGTTTTAAAATATCTGTATTTTATTGCATATATTTATGTTTTAACATTACAATCATGTATTCATAGTTTTAATTTCAAATTATAGCTAAAAACATTTTTATTTACAACTGTCAAATAAAGATTTGTGTTATTGTAAGTGTGCTATTGTAACTGTGTTACTGTAAGTTTGTTAATGTAACTGTGTTATTGTAAGTGTTCTATTGTAACTGTTATTGTAACTGTGTTATTGTAATTGTGTTATTGTAAGTGTGCTATTGTAAGTGTGTTATTGTAACTGTGTTATTGTAAGTGTGCTATTGTAAGTGTGTTATTGTAACTGTGTTATTGTAACTGTGCTATTGTAACTGTGTTACTGTAAGTTCGTTAATGTAACTGTGTTATTATAAGTGTTCTATTGTAACTGTGTTATTCTAACTGTGTTATTGTGTGTTAATGTAACTGTGTTATTGTAAGTGTTCTATTGTAACTGTTATTGTAAATGTGTTATTGTAACTGTGTTATTGTGTGTTAATGTAACTGTGTTATTGTAAATGTGTTATTGTAACTGTGTTAATGTAACTGTGTTATTGAAGGGGGTCTATTGTAACTGTTATTGTAAGTGTTCTATTGTAACTGTTATTGTAAATGTGTTATTGTAAGTGTTCTATTGTAACTATGTTATTGTAAGTGTTCTATTGTAACTGTTATTGTAAATGTGTTATTGTAAGTGTTCTATTGTAACTATGTTATTGTAAGTGTTCTATTGTAACTGTTATTGTAAATGTGTTATTGTAACTGTGTTGTTGTAAGTGTTCTATTGTAACTGTTAATGTAACTGTGTTATTGTAAGTGTTCTATTGTAACTGTTATTGTAAATGTGTTATTGTAAGTGTTCTATTGTAACTGTGTTATTGTGTGTTATTGTAACTGTGTTATTGTAAGTGTTCTATTGTAACTGTTATTGTGTGTTATTGTAAGTGTTCTATTGTAACTGTTCTATTGTAACTGTTATTGTGTGTTATTGTAAGTGTTCTAATGTAACTGTTATTGTAACTGTGTTAATGTAAGTGTGTTATTGTATGTGTTCTATTGTAACTGTGTTAATGTAAGTGTTCTATTGTAACTGTTATTGTGTGTTATTGTAAGTGTTCTATTGTAACTGTTATTGTAACTGTGTTATTGTAAGTGTTCTATTGTAACTGTTATTGTAACTGTGTTATTGTAACTGTGTTATTGTAACTGTGTTATTGTAAGTGTTCTATTGTAACTGTTATTGTGTGTTATTGTAAGTGTTCTATTGTAACTGTTATTGTGTGTTATTGTAAGTGTTCTATTGTAACTGTGTTATTGTAAGTGTTCTATTGTAACTGTGTTATTGTAACTGTGTTATTGTAAGTGTGTTATCACACTGAGAACCTATAAAAATGTCCAAAGAACTACGTGTAAAAGGTTTAGAACTGCAGTAAGGTTTAACTCGTGTTTTGGGGGAGGAGGGTCCAGTGCCAGCCTGTTGAATAATACAGGTCTGCGATGGTTTTATTGTCTTGAAGTTTTTACATGTTCTACAGTATTTCGTGTACGCTGAATCAGAAGATGATATCCACCTTTCTCCATCATGTACAAAATTTTCACAAAACGTCATATGTACTTTAACATAAGTGAATCATTTTCATTGAAATTGGGTCACAATTTGTTATGCTTAAAATGTTGACAACCACTGGCTATAGATTTCTCTAGACCAATCGCGACGTGAGAGTCTTATCGATCGTTCTAGATAATAAAACAAGGTTCATTGTGGTAAACGAAATAATAATTTGATCTACATAAGAAAATTTTCTCTTCTTCCCGATTTGTAAAACATCTTTACGTGATAGAAACAAAATTAATATTATTTTCGAAATCTGCGTAGATGAATTATGGGAAATACGTTATTAAAACCAAAAAAAAACTTTTATGAAGTTTAACTTCGCCGGTCTGTGTTATGATCAATAGAAACATGGGCAACAGAAGGGGACTGAGAACCATGGAAACGTACTGGAATTTATTCTAAATTAGAACTGCTCCATTTCAACGAATTTCTATATGATAAACGGGAAAACATTAAATTAATATGGAGTTAGTTTGGATAACCTATAAATATTTCTAACTCAACACAAGCGCCACTAAATAACACTGGCCTTGATACTTAGTTTGATAGTTCTAAAGTAAATACAGCCGGGTTTAACCTGCTGAGAAACGGATGTAGAGGTCCACAGTTCGAGTCCGTGATATACCACTGAACACACTTCGTACCTTTAGTTATGAGTGAGTTATCAATATGACAGTCAATCCCGATTTTCGGTTAAGAGTATCCGTATAGTCGGCAATCCTTCTGTCTGGTTACCCTCTGGTCAATCGTTTTAAATTAGATATTGATAAACCTTGAGGTTTCTGACCTGGTCATTTAGTTCCTGTATATTGTTTAAGGATCAGTTCAGATGAAAAAATAACAAATACAAAAATACTAAAGTTGAAAAATTAATAAAATAATTTTTAAACAAAGCTCCATTTTAACGTGGTTATAAAATAGCAAACTGCTTTAAATAAAGGCAGTCAGTTTACCTAGAAACACACGTAACTGGCTCAGCATTATTAGCAACTATAACACCTTCAGTGGCGATTTGAAGGCGACACCATATAGTTCTTAGAACATTAGACTTACGAGACTGACTTACAATATGTAACAGCTCAATCAGCAATCACTACCATTATATAAACATAACTTAGTATGTTTAGTGTCCGTGAATATTTATCTTGAATCACGGTTGACAATGACACTATGATAGTGAACATTATAATCCAAGCAACAAGCACAAAAAACATAATAAAAGACACTTACAGAAAACTGTAAGATTCCATTTGTCTTCTATGGTGCTACCTGGAATCTTTGGGTTGTTAGACGTGCACATCAATACCTTCCCATTGTCTTCTCTGGAAGGCGTAAAGGTCAACTCGCTAATTGTAACATTCTGGCTTTCGGGAGGCATTCGTAAAATACTGGACATTGGTTTGTTATCCTTCCACCACGTGATTTGAGCAGATGGTCGAGATCCACTTGACTCACAAATAATTTTCACTTTTTTACCAGCCGATAGGGGGCGTCTGAAAAATTTTATTCGTACGTCTACCGGCTTCACTAGGCAGAGAGAGATAATTCATACGTGTTACTGCCAACAATAATGTAATAGCAACAGAAAGTAAAAAATAAAATAATTACCAATATTTCAAGCTACTGAATCTCGCATAAAAAAAAAAGGAAACTATAAGCAGCTAAGAAAAAAAAAGACAGAAATATTGAGAAACAATTCATTCAATCGTATATATACATAGTTGAAACACAAGGAGGAATAAAAAAAAGATTTAGTTGTCTCGCCTGAAAGCTATTTTTGTTGTCTGGTTTTTGATATAGCTCAACTCAAACTAATTTATTCGCCCAAGATAAGGCTATGTTTCTACGACTTCGTTACCAGTCAGAACGCTTCTATCATACCAGAAGAGTAAAATAATGTAAAAGTATATATATATATATATATATCGCTTTGATATCTCTTTTATCTTAGTAAAGTTATTTATATTATCCAAATATATGTATCTTCTAACATAGAATTTGTTATACGGATATGCTTTTCTTTTCTACATGTAAATTAAGGAGATGGAGTGTAGAGCAGTATTGTCAAAACAAAACTTGTAACCAAGAGAAAGAAAAAATTAATAGGTTTAATATTATTAGTAGTAAAAATATTTATTTTAACAAGTATTGGCAAGAACGATAGAAAATAGTAAATGTGTTATTGTAACTGTGTTACTGTAAGTGTGTTATTGTAACTGTGTTCTTGTAACTGTTCTATTCTAACTGTTATTGTAATTGTGTTATTGTAAGTGTGCTATTGTAAGTGTGTTATTGTAAGTCAGCGTGTTTTGATCACATGGATCCTCTATTTACCGTCAGGAAGATCTGCTCATTACTAATCTTCCTGACATTAATAGATAGGTGATCAAAATACTTTTTGTTGAATTTTGCGCAAAGCTACTCGGGAGAAATCTGTGTTTGCTGTTCCTAATTTTGAGGTAATAAATTAATTGAAAGGCAGCTAGTCAACACCACCCGCCGCCAACTCTTGGGCTACTCTTTACGAACAAAAAGTGGAATTGATCGTCAAATTATAACGCCCCCACGTCCGAAAGAGCGAGTGTGTTCGGACGGGACTCGAACCCACGACCCACATATTGCTAGTCGAGCGCTTTAACAACCAGGCCATACCAGGCGTAATCGATAACGAATGAAGCGTTTGACGTCAGGAATGTAATAGAAACAGTCTTGACTTTCACATCAATAAATGCTTCTTCAATCTCAACCGTAGCAGACAGATAAGCCCTATTGTTCAACCGTAAAACATGCTCAGTTAAGTGTCTATTCTAAGTTAAAAATCGTTATCATTACTACATTAAAAATCATATTATGTTTTTGTCAAAAAAAAAAAAAGAATATTTTGATGGATGAAATTTATATTAGTTCTTGGAATTCAGATACCACAGAAAAAAAACAAACCTGTCTGGAGTTTATGTTATAAGAAAATCAATTATTTCTATTTACGTTTTATTGTTGAAATGTGGAACTAAAGTTACAGGAGGACAGGATAAAACTTGTTTTGTTAAACGTTCTCTACGGTGTTATGAAAATGCCAAAAACTGCCATTATCAGAGTAGAATATATATCGATATTTAGTTTCATGGCACAACAAAACTATTTAGTTTCATGGCACAACAAAACTTATAAAGATTGTTTTTCGTCTGGATGTGACGGGAAGAAAAATTCTTCAGGTAATCAGCTTAGATCAGTCGTGTATACTTCGCTTATCTTCGTTTAGGAACACTGCAAGAATAAGCTCGAAAAATCCTGTCAAGAGGCTTTGTACGAAGCTTAATCTGATAGTGTACAATATTTACTTCCGTACAATTTCTTTTACATCTTTTTTCTTTCTTTCTTGTAGTTCTGAGTGTAAGATGTCAGTAATTCTGTTACTTTTTACGTCTTGTTGCTAACGCTTTGCAACGTCAGACAACAATCGTAGGTAAACTGTTCACGGTTGAATTTAGCATACATTAGCTCACGGGTTAGTTTAAGTTGTGTTTCTAATATGCACACAAGAAACAGCAGTCGTTGATTTGATGTTAATTTAAAAATAAAATACTGGTTATTAAATAGTGCAAAAAAAAGGAAATACGATACCTGAGAAGTCAGAAAAAATATATACTTTGAAAAAGAATAATTCTGTGCTCATATAAAATTTCTTAAGGTATTAATCCTAGACGTCCCCCCCCCCAGTGGCACAGC